GATGGATGGGATGGATGGGATGGATGGGATGGAGGGTGTCTGATCTGTGCTTGACCCAGCCCTGGCCTGCTATGCTTCTGCCTCGCTGTCGTCTTCCACCAACACTCACGCTGTCTCCGGGCTGTCATCACCGTCACCGTCATCGTCATCATCATCATCATCATCATCATCTCCAGTCCCGTGTCCGCCAGCGCCTGCGGGCCTCGTCCCTTCCCGAGCCTGCTCTGGGCGAATGAGCGCGTGTCCCAGCTGGTTGGACGGGGAAGGCCCCAACGGATCCAATCACACGGTGCTGCCGAATATTGAAGCTATTCTGACCCGGCAGCCAGCGCCTGTCACGGTACCCTCCATGTTCATGTTGTCGGCCCTGCAGACCCGATTATTCATCGCCAGGCAGCCCGTCTTTTTGTTCTATCTTGCGCTTCCTTGTCATTTGATTTTTGTCTTATCTTGTCTGCCTGCGTTTTGTGCTTACGCTACTGAGCCATCCCTCGATCTCGCCATCCACAGTCTTAGCAGCGCCATCGTTCGTGGTCCGTGTCAAATCGGTGGTTGCTTTTCTTGCTCGGCAAATTTGAAGTCTGTTACTGTTGGCTCCTCTGCTCTTCTCGTCTTCGCACCCCCTCGTTCGCCTCTTTTACATGCTCCGCCTGTGGATGGACTTGTGCATTCGCTCTGTCCATAAGTATGAAATAACACCAACAAGCCCACAGGTTTTGCCTGGGCGCACACCCTCTGAACCTTGACGGCTTGCGCACCGGCCAAGGTCTTAACCAAGTCAATGGGTGCATCAACCAACATGTAATTCCCATCTCTTTCAGCCAGCTTCGGCTCTACTAGTCCAGTCCCAAAAGAACAGGACAAGCCCGGACTTCCTGTACCGCTCCATTGGGTACAATGGTCAGATCCCTATCTCCATCATCGTTCCTTTTTTTCCTTTTTTCTTTCCGATTACGGGCACTCCATGCCTTCGTAGAGTCATTTGCCTTCCTTTCCTGTTCTATCCATGTCTTCTCCTCTCCGTCTTCTTTGCCCGAACTTTTGTGGCGGCGCTCACCCTGTTCTGGAAGACGCACTCCCATGGTTCTAGACATTCCAATTTTACCGCCCCGTCAGCATCGACGCCCGTCCCGCGTCTCAAGCCAAGGATAGGCAACGCCGCTTTTGCAGGTCACGATGTGGATGAACTTGCCTCTTCCAACTTGAATGACAGCGGGACACGACGCCCATCTCGGCGTAATTGCTTGCAGCAGCTGTCCTTTTGTTG